CCCCTCCCTTTCTCTCTCGCTGTCCTCCTCTCCCCTCCCTCTGTCTCTCTCTGTCCCCCTCTCCCCCTCCATCTCTCTCTCAGTTCCTCTCTCCCCCTCTGCCTCTCTCTCTCTCTCTCTCTCTCTCTCTCTCTCTCTCTCTCTCTCTCTCTCTCTCTCTCTCTCTCTCTCCCAACTCAAAAGTTTAATACGCAAAGTCCACAAAGCGCCCTATGAAAGGGCCTTCACTTAGAATGTCCCAGTTTCTGAGATGGATAGTGACTGAACACATGACTGCGTTTTGGGCAAGTTGAAGCGCACCGTGGAGGAGGGAGATAGAAGTGGAGGGCCTTACTCGAGATCCAGTGATGAAGCTTGGAAGGTCCCCAGTGCCTCCATGCAGAATGGTCTTCTTGACGCCCTCCACATTCAGGAGCAAAGTGGCATCCATGCTGCAAGTAGAAGCAGGTGTCCAGCCCAAGCCAAGATAATCTCACAGAAAGAGAAAGAAGCTTAGGTCTCTGAGACACAAGAGGATTTTCCTGGTCCCGCAGGCCAAGCCAGCCCCGCCCCCAGGCACACTGAGCTGGGGACTGAGTCTGGTGATATGGTGGCCCACGCCTGTAATCCCAGTGCTAGAGAGGCTGAAAACAGAAGGATCACTATGAGTCCGAGCTGAGTAGTGAGATCCTATACCAAATACATAAAAAGGGAGGAAGGGGATTTTCCATACAGATTGGGGGTACAGGGGTAGCTTACCAGAGCCACTGCCTTTAGCCTCACCTTTTGCGCCACCTCTGAACCCTTGAACGGATGCAAAGTCCCTGCCTGGCACCCACCATCCCACCCCAAAAGGGAAGGAAGCTGGCTGAGCTTTCCTGAAGAAGACAGGGAGAGGGATCAAGCAGAAGAAGCCAGGGCCCACCCAAGGAGAAGAGGACAAGCCTGAGGCCCTTCCTGGACCCAGGGTACTGACCCTGTTCCCGGATCTAAGTCCCCTTGGAGCCCAAGCCAGCTGCCTTTGCCTTCCACTGCCCTCTTTTCCCTGTTTCCCTCTCCTTCTCTCCCCAAGCTCTGCCCGCAGGAGACTGTGAGATGTGGCCAGAGTGAAGGGGAGAAGGTGCGCACTTATCCCTCCTCCCCTGGTCCCGGGTTGGGCCAAAAAGAGAACAGATAATGTGAAGACTTGGTGTTTGGCACCACCTTGTGGCCAGCTCTAAATTTTATGCTTCAGCTACTCAGCACCCCAGGAGGGTGGAGGATGGTGAACCCCACAGAGCAGTCTCTTCTGGGGGAGGGCTAGACTGGTTAAAAAGAGAAGAGAGGCAGTGCCTGCAGCAAGGAGACAAGAGCTCACCTAGGCACCAGGGCAAACTGTGATTAAGGGGCTGACCCCCCTCCTGTGTACTGGCCTGTGGTCTTGGACATCTTCCAACTTTAACTCTACTTTGCCAGCAGAGATGGGAAAATCCACCTGTCCTGCCTCCCTCTCTAGGAAGTTAAGAGGCCAGGAGAAGCGGGTGGGACCCAGAAGCCCAGCACTCTGAAGGCGTTGACTCCCATCAGCAGCCTCTGACTTGGAGGACACCAAACTGGGCCAACTAGCTGGAACGCCCAGAGTGCTCAGACACCCCGCCCCCCCAGGACAGTCTTCATCCCTGCTTGGGGGCAAGGGCTGACGCTGAAGATGAAAAGACTCCTTCCCTCTTCACGTCCATCCTTTCTCCAGCCATGCAGCCACTTAGAGGGGTCTGTGTGTTTGGGAGGGAAATGGACACAGAAAACCATAAGCGAAAGTAACAGCGGTTCCCAGAAATGCCTACTGGGGAAGGAGCGCACACAACAGAAGCCAGAGGTTACTTCTGGGTCCTGACAACATTCACTGTGATCTCGGGCCGTAATAGCAAACCTATGGCATGTGTGCTACAGCAGTCTGTTTGTCACTGAAAGTCCTAAAAGGCTCACCATCAGTGACCCAGGCTATAGTGACATGAGTGTTTGCTTTACAAGGATTCATAATTCAAGAGCATGTTTGATGCATTTTTCTATCATGATCAAACTCACCATGGGAGAAAAAAGACTTAATCATATTTCATCTCACAATTTTTAGATATCATTAGGTTCTTTCTCATGTAGCACTTCCCTCTGCAGATGGGCCAAAAGGCATGCACGAATTGCAGCATTCAATATTTAAGAACTTGTAGCTTTGGCCTGGGCTTGGATGGGGAAGCCACAGGGCACAGAGGCAAGAGGATGTGGGTGCTGATGCCGGAGCTTCCGTTCCCTGCTGAGAGACAGTGAGCTGCCTCTAGAGAGATCTCCTTAGCCCCCAAGCCAGTCTCCTGAAGGATCTCTTGTACATGCAACTCTAATCATCAGCTTCTTCTTTACACTCAGCAAAGACTTCCCTCCACCTTGAGGATGCTCTCTAACTTCCCTGACCCACAGGCCTGTACCTCTGACCTCCGCGCTCAGCCTTGAGCTCCGATTTTCTCAGCCACTATCCAGTCCGAGAGTCACCCAGTGGATCCACGGATGAACCTGAAGCAGGAGATGCAGCCCTCAACTTGGCCAAGCAGGTTCTCCACACCATTACACAAAACATTTCAGGATGCATCATGAGAGGCAGAGCTGATTTGGCAGCAGAACTAGAAAGAAAGAAAATAGGGAGAGGATGACAGCTTGAGGAGCACAGAGGGCCCTAGCTTTGATGGAGAGGAGCCAGCTGGTCCTGCAACAAAGGAACAGGACCAAGCCATTTGGATTCCCTGGGGTGGGCTAGGGTCTAGTTAGTCATTAGCTTGGTTCTCGTTTTCCAGGGTGGTTTCCAGGGTGGTTATCAGTCAGTCAGGTCTCTGACATGATTGCTTCCACTTGGGACAGCTTTGTTCTGTTTTCAGTTACCTACGGGGTATCTGTAGGCCCAAGTGAAGAATTGTGGTGGTGGTATTATTATTATTGCTGTTGTCGTTATTTTTAGCAAAAGCAGTTTTCATGTCCCCTCAGAAAATGGAAATTACACTTTTAATTACACTTTTAGCAGGTTAGGGAGCAGCCAAGAGTTTAGCCTTGCTCTTATGGGGCTGGGGGTCTGTCTCAGTGGAATGCAGCCACGCTCCAGTCTCCTGACATTAGCCTCAGCTTCTCCACTAGAGTGCCACCTACCTGGGAAAGACTACCCTGACATCAGCCCAAGTGAAGTTCCCCTTCCCCTTACCCCTTCCCTTTTCCCCCAACACTTCACACTCCTGCCCTGTGCAAAGTCATTAATGTGTTTCACGTCTGTTTCTTCTATCGGACCAGCACTTTCCGAGGGCCAAGGAGACCAGTGAAAGCTCTATTGTTGGAGGAACAGCTCTGGGAAGGATAGGGCTGAACTCTCCCTCCATCCTCCTCTCCAGCAGAGGCCAGGGTGGATCCAGATGCCCACTAGAGCAAATGGTTAGCTGCTCCGCCTCACTAGGAGCAGAGACACCAGCACCGCTTGTCTCACATGGAGTATGCTTCACCTGTCTAGAGCATCCCCACCACCCTGGAACCACTTTGCATGCAAGGCCAAGGAAAAGGCTTCCCATTCAGAAGAAAATACTTCTTCCACCTTCTCTGGTTGCCATGGAGACTGCTCTTCATTAACCTGATCTGCCACTTAACATTCTGAGAGGCAAGAGGGGAAGGCTGCCAGCAGGGAGGGCTCTTTGTGTGTGCATGCATGCGTTTCAGACCCTTGACCAGGATGTGTAATCCAAGGTGAAGAATGGAGGTTTTGGAGCCAGACAGTCAGGATTTAAGTTTCACCTCTTGGATGAGATACTTCCTCAATCTGAATCTCCAGTGTTGTCATCTGTAATGGAAATAAAAATAGTACCCACTTCCGAGTGCTGCTGCAAGAATTGAGGGAGAAACAAGAACGTAAATGCACTCAGCTGAGTGGCTGACACACAGTCAGGGCTCAGCAAACAGAAGCTATTATTATGGGTTCCTGTGACATGCCAGCCATCATGACAGGTACTGGAGAGGCAGCCATGACAAGACATCCCAGTGTGAGATATTTTGTTTCTAAATGCTTTACCAGTCTTAAGCCTTTCCCACACTTTGAACTTGGTCTTCACAGAAACAATTTGCTTTTCCTCCTGTTAGTTCATTATATCCTGTTCCCTTGATTCACAAATACAACTGGCATAAACACCTTCGGGGACAAGCATTTCTGACTCCTGGTAAAGAACCCCACTGAATGAACAAGCGGACAGGTGAATTAAATTAATAGTTTTCAAATCACAGCCCACACTCAGTAGTGACTAGGGTAAAAGAAAACAAGTTGTTATAACTCTCAAGGGTGTTTTTTTTTTTTTTCAGCCCTTTTTTATTAGTACATATAAAGCTGGGGTTGGAACATGTATTTAACACATCTTAATTCTTTTTTTTTAATATCCTTCCCCTCCCCCACTCCCTCCTTCCATCTCTTTGTTCCTTTCTCATATATAAAGGATCTACCTCCCTATTTCCTATTATCTATCTTTTATTTTGCTCTTATTTATATTACCTTAGACGAGAAGCCATGAATGTTTAAGCTTGTGAGTCTGATTTATTTCTCTTAACATTATGGTCTCCAGGTGCATCCATTTCCCCACAAATGACTCAAGTTTATCCTTCTTTATGGCAACAGCTTTCAGATTTTTAAAATAAAATAGAACATAAAATCTCAGACAGTCAAGAATGATTTCACAAAGCTTTTATTTCCCTACCCATGTGTGTGCATGTGGACACGCATTTGTGTGTGTGTGTGTGTGTGTGTGTGTGTGTGTGTGTCTTCTCAGTTTCTTATAAGGAACACTGGTCCTCTTGAATATATTGCGCCCTGTGCCAGGGAAACCACACAAACATTCACAAATATACTAACACACACTTAGTCTGGTTATCGCTTCTCTAGCTCTCAGCTTTAAATAACGTATCTTATGTGGCTCTTTGATTACCTGATCAGGTATTTAATGCACCAATGTCCCTCTCGTCCCATCAGAACCCCATGGTGATTTTAGCTGACCCTTGTGGTCCATTTTTAGCAGTGTTAATCAAGCACAACACTCAGCTTATATAATTCGGAAAAACCTGAAAGAGGAAATAATAAGGGAGGAGGAGAAAATTCAGGATGCCCAAAGACTGGCTGGTGTGTGTCGGTTTGCAGGGACCGCAGCATCCAGGACGCACTGACTGTAGGGTTAAGGTGAGCAGTCCAGACTGGAGGCAGAGGCTGAGGTGAGGGACACTGTGAGGTGGCAGTTGGGCACATGTAGACCCTGGTCCTAGACTAATGGCATTTGAATCCTCTGCTTGAGTGAAATGTAGGCCCAACCTAACCTCTCTGCACGTTGGGTCCCTCATCACAGCACAGGCTACAATGACGATCAAATGTGTTCAGGAATATTTATCCAAGCCTTGGACCACCAGTCCCTAGTGCATCACAGTGCCATGTACAAGTGAATCATTATCATCCACTTGGAATGAAGGGCAGTGACCACTGAGGCTAACAGCGTGGGTGAAATCACCCAGATGTGAAGAGGGCTGATGGACCATCACCCCAAGCCCAAGCGAGGGAGGGGTGGGGTGTTGCTTTGAGGTCATGGAAAAGAGCTAGATAAGGTGGGGAGAGCTGCATCCAGGGATGCTAAAGAGAAGAGGGAAAGATGGGTAGAACCAGGCAGAGACCTGAGGAGCTGGCCTAGGAGGAAGAAGGCAGGAAAGAACAAATGCTGCAGCCTGTACCCTTTCACAGCATGTGTCTTCTTCTGGGAAGAGTTGAATACGAGTTTGGAGGACACCTAGAAGGGAGCAGTTTGTCTAGGAAAGAAGAGAGAGGGTCATGAAGGAAATTTGAGGCAAAACCTTCGTTAGAGTTAGAACCCAGGATTCAGTACCACCCCTGTTCTTGGTTCTTTCAGAGAAAATTGCTCAGAGACAAAGAAAAGCCAGTCGTCCTGGCAAGATGAAGGGTTCCCTAGGAGGCCAAGTCTACAGCTGGCCGAGGGCCCAAGAAGTCAAGGCCACCCGCTCCTATGCCTTCTCGGTGCTCGGGATCCCGCCTCTGAGGCAATCTTACTGACCAGCCACGATCTCGTGAAAACTCCACAGAGGGCGCCTAGGTCTGGGACCCGAGCATCTGGGAGGCGGCCACTCCCATTACCAAGCTAGGCGGGTGTCGCTAGCGATGAATGAAGGAGTCCAGGCCAATCCCAGAGAAGAATTTACAACCGCGAGAGAAAAGGGCCAATCAGATGCCCGACACAGAAGAGGCCGCAGGAATGGAGCCAATCAGCTGTGAGTTTTGGGCCGGGGCGGAGCAGCGCGGAGTTTCAAATCAGTTGGGGTCTGCAAGGAGCCGCTGTGTCTGGTCTCTGCTTTGGGCGTTGCCGGTAAGTGTGGGTCAAGATGTAGGGGGACTTCTATTTGGAAGCCTCAAGGGGAAACAGGGTAGGGGCTCTAGCTAGGACAGCCAGGCGTATTGCAAGCGTCAGGTCGAGAACTTGAATATGAAGGGATGGTCGGAGTCTGAGAAGAGAGCGTTTGGGGAGGGCGAATGTTTGAATGCACTGCTGATTGTGGCCTGGATCAGGCGCTGAAGCTCGGGGAACCCCTCCCTCCTTCTCCTGAGACTCTGGAAAGGGGCTGGGATGAAAAGACAGCTATTTTGGAAACTTGCAGCATGGGAGAGCAGGAATTTGGCCCCTCCTCCAGGAAACACTCCTAGTGGTACCCACCGTCGTCCAAAGGCCCGGTCCCACGGGCCTCCGTCCCACATCTCCTGGCCCCAGGGTTCCTGTGGAGGGTGACCCTCCTTTGACCTCCCCAGAGTCTGAGGGGCAGAGAAGACTGGGCCAGACAGATGGCATCTCAGTGGCACAGCATGCGATCCTCCGTGCGCCGCCGATCTCTCCTGAAGGAGGAGCAGCTGGAAGAGGAGGTGGTGCGGACTGCAGCCGGCCATCTGGAGTCGTCCACAGGGACTCTGGGCTCCCTGTGTAGACAGTTCCAGCGGAGACTGCCCTTGAGAGCAGTCAGCCTCAACCTCGGGGCAGGACCCTCCTGGAAACGGCTGGACACCCCAGAGCAGGAACAGCAGGGCCTCCAGACTGCGGCGCGCTCTGCCAAGAGCACCTTGGGTGTCGTGTCCCAGGTAATAATGACAACATCAACCATCTATGGAGGATATCCTTGGGGGCCGTAGTGCCTACCCTCAGAGAGACTTTAAGAATATAGGCTCCTGATGGCTGGGGCTTGACTTGTTTGCTGTTGCTTTCCCAGAACCCCAAATAGTTCCTGGCACATGATAGCTATTCCATAAATAATTGAATGAGTGTCACTAAGTCTGATGTTCCTGATGAACTGAGATGAGAGCCAGACGATGACAGGCATAGCAAATGGCTGATGATAAGGGAAGACCAAACTCAAGCCTCATTGCTTAAGCGTCCCAGGGTAGGTGACTCCGCAGAGCTCACCCAGGAAAGGGGAAGTACAAGGAGTATCTGTGACATGTAAAATCATCTGTACCCATACAGAGGACAGCAAGGATAAAAGTTGTGGAAAGAAAAGGGCAGGAACTTAGTGTGGGTGTGTCCAGGGGCCAAAGTGAGGTAGAGCAAGGAGAGAGGAGATCTAGCATCCCAAAAGTGTTTAGACTTCCCAGAGCACCCAAGAACTGGAAGAAACCTGGGGCCTCACAAAGGCCAGGCAGGGGCTCCACTGCGGAGCCTCACACCCAGCCTTGAAGCTGGTCTGATGGGTGTATACCTGTACTTGATGGGAGAAGGAAGGGAGCAGATATGACCCTGAGAGTAACTTCAGGAGCTACTCTTGAGTTGGATCCAGCAGATTGGGCCCCTTGGTGTCAAGGAGCTATGCCCCAGGAAGGTGTCATTATGTGGGGTATGAGGTACCCCACGGGCCTGCCAGGCTGATGTGTCTGTAAAGCTGGAGCTGGAGCTTTTATCTTCCCCTTTCCTGGGTGAGCTCTGGGGAGTCACCTACCCTGGGAAGCTTGAGCAATGAGGCTTGAGTTTGGGCTTCCCTTATCATCAGCCATTTGCTTGCCTGTCGTTGTAGGGCTCTCATCTCAGCTCATCAAGAAAAAAGATAAAGGCCATAGGAGGGAATAAATGCTGTGAGACCGCCCAAGGCAGGGTGCTGCTGGGAGGTTCCCTCCATGGCATCGTCCTGGGAATCCTGAAGATGTAAGGAGAGAGCAGCTCTTTCTAAAACCTTTGCAGAAAGGTCTCCCAGCCAAATGCTAGGCCTTGTCTCGTGGCACCCAGAAGTTCTGAAAACTTCAGGGTCAGGATCAGAATACCCCCAAAAGGGTCTCTGAAGACCAGTGAGGAGTGAAGGACCATGGAACAGAAACAAGAAGACGATGATCTCTTGGTACCCAGGAGCTGGGTCCCTTCTCTGGCTCTTCTTGAGTCAGGGAGTCAGTCTCTTCCTGCGAAGGGGATTTGGACTTAGACAGAGGCTGTCTGAGCCAGAGTTACCCACCTGCTGCTCACTGCTCTGGTCTCATCCTGGGACTCTGAGCTGGGTTGCTGCACTGGACAACAGGTCCACAAGTAGTCACTACATCCCTCACACTTAAGACCAAGAGTTGTCACTATTCATGGGAAGCTGGCGGGCTGGAGGGTTACCTAGAGACCTTGGTCCTGTCTGTGCTAAGCTGTGTGTGTTGTATCACAGAGAATCCAGGAGTCCTGCCAGAGTGGCACCAAGTGGCTGGTGGAAACTCAGGTGAAAGCCAGAAGGAGGAAGAGAGGGGTACAGAAGGGCAGTGGCTCTCCACCTCCCACCCTGGGTCAGAAGAGCACCCGGCTGTGTAGAGCCACCCTAGACCCTGGCAGGAGGGAATATCGCCGCCTCTCTGCCGGGGTGGGCCCATGTGCTCACCCCCGACGGCAGCCGAGGAGGGATGCTGCCTTCCAGAGCTCCTGCTCCTCGACCGAGCCTCTCTGCTCTCCCAGGCAAGTAGTGTGGTGTCTCCCCAAAGTCAGTGGTTCTGAGCCCATGTGTGATTGCCCTTCTCTGACCCTTCAAATGCCAACTGGGCCCCCTGGCTGCTGAGTACCTCCTGCACATTCCTGGAGCCAGAGGCACCCTTAGTTGAGTCACATCTGTGTTCTGGCCTGGTGGAGGATCTAAGAAAACCCTTCCAGGTGCCTCAGTTTCCCCACCTGAAAAAGAAAGAGGTGAGCTCAGTTCTGTGTGGGTTCCCCTCAGCCCAACCATCAGGGTGTTGGAGACTCAGGCTGCAGGTGGGAACAGCAGACTTACTTGTCTGCAATATTGCCTGCCCATGACCTTGGCCCCATGGGGCTCGATGTTGCTTCACTGAGCAGAAATCTATGTTGAGGAAGCCCCAGACCGCAGGGCTATCAAGACCCACAGACCAAGTCCCGGTGCTGGCTTGGAGGGGATTCCATCACAGGTCTCCAGCCAGCCCCTGTTGGCTTTTTTGTATCCAGTGAATCTGACAGTGATCTCGAGCCTGTGGGAGCAGGAATCCAGCATCTCCAGAAGCTGTCTCAAAAGCTGAACAAGGCCATCATAGCTGAAGACAAGTGAGTTGATGGCCCAGTCTCCAGAGTAAAGAGACTGGGAGGGCACCATTGAGCCACACCATCTTTGTAGGCAGGCTGCTGCTCTGGTCCCGACCTACTGTGTGACTCTAGTCCCTGGCCCTCACTGGGTTGCTATAGAGTTCCTGACATATCTGCTCCAAGACCCACCCCGTTCTGAGGCAGAACCTCAGATCTGAATCCTCACTAACTCAGGATGTTGGTTTCTGTGTGTGTGTAATAGTGTCAAAGCAGGCTCTTGGCAGGGTTTCACCAGCTCTGACTCTGCAGAGTAGCACTGCTCCCACCCTATTTCCAGGTTCTAGTTTTGTCAGCCCAGTTTAGAAGTCTCCTCCCAGGCTGCAGCACCCAGCAACATCAATCCCTCCCCCTTTTCCCTCCCTAGTGCTGACATGACCGTCACCCTCATATGTGACTGAGGACAGGCCCTGCAGGTAATGCCCTCCTCCCCTTCCTCTCCCACCCTCATTCATGAGCATGGCAAAGAAATGAGTCTCTGGGAAAACCCACGGAGCAGGTGAGCCCCACAGAACAGGCAGTCTCAGAGTCCACACCTGCTAGGAGCCAAAGCTTAACCTCACTGACCCATCACTCACTACCCATGCTGGGCACCCCAAAAACCCAGAGGCACCTTCCAGCCAGTTGAGAAAGCTGTAAGGTACCCAACTCCCCTTCCCTGAGCTCAGCAGTGGGCACAAAGGGAGCTCTGTTTTGCAGAAAACAAGTCCTATCTGGCCACCAAACCCTCACACCCAGGATATCTACATTGCCTGCCCTGGAGCTGCCTGGAAAAAGAACCAGAGGCATCAGCTGCCCTGAACCGCCACTAACAAGGACCTGATCACCAAGGGGCCCAGCACTCATCTGCTTCAGCCACACCTGGGTCCATCAGTGACCTCTGCCACAGCCCGAGAGACTCAGGGAGACATTGGCGATTTGGGGACTTGCTCTCACTCCCCCAGCAGGCTCTTGGGCTTAGGACCTCATGCTACTCTCAAGTCCTGTGGTCACCTTGCTTGCGATGAGAAAATAGTCTTTGGGGAGCCTTCTACAGGCTCCCCAGCTATATTTCTATAACAGAGGTTCTTAGGGACCCAGTTCCATCCCACCAGAGCCCTGGAGGGAAAGGAGATGCTGGCTCCAGGTTGTGCACCCCTCGGCTCATGGGTGCCTGCCTACTTATACGCTTGGCACAGGGCACTGTGGGCATGCAGGGAAGGGGAGCAACACTCAAGAGCCCTTTGTAAACTATTTAAGAAATCCATTTTACCATTTATAAAGAAAGATGTGTGCCCATTTCCTAAATCATACTGCTTTTTCATAATAAAGACTTACTCCACACTGGACACTTTTTCCACTTCTCCCCCACCCCACATGCCCTTGCTTTGGGCCACATGGTTAGGGTCTGGCTTTGTCCCTGGTCCCCTCAGCTTCCAGCTTGCTTGCCCCACCCCCTCCTTAGAGTAGGGGTAAAGAGAATGCTTTATCATCTCAGTCCAAAGCAAAGCACACTGTAAAGGCAAATAAGGTTTTTATTTAAGTGACAATGTTTGAGAGTTAAAAACCAGCTCACATCGAAATCAAGACCAATTGTAAAAATCTTTTAACTCCATAATGCGGTATTTGTCTTGTTAGAAATCTGATATTTTACATGTTTTTTTTTCTAACGGATTTTGTACAAGGCAGCCGTAGGAATATAATAAACCTTTTCCAGCACAGAACCATCTATCACAGATAATACTGAAAGGTACACACTTAGGAACAGTCAGACCACAGACAAGGTCAGACTGGCTGCCACCACTGAGTAAACAAACAGAAAGGGACAGTGGGATCCGACGGTGGGGGTCCCCATGCATAAGCCACCCTTCTGTGGCCTGTCACTCCTTGGTGTCACCTGCCTCTGCTGTGTCCCAAAGACTAAAGTTGAATTCTTGATTATCCTGCCAAACATCCTGTTGGTTTCTTAGCAAGGAGAACAGAACCCAGCCAGGCCTCATTGCTTGGACTTAACCCTGATTGGGACTTTGAAAATTCCCCCAAGCCCAAGAGGATACGCGGAGGCTTTTGACTGAGCTAAAGAAAAATAGGTTTCCAGAGCGCTTGACACCCAAACCCCCTGGGATTCAGCTGGAAAGTCGGTTGTTTAAGGCAGGGTCAACTGCAAGGCTCCTTCCCAGTCAGCACTCTCCTCCTAGGCAGGGCTGCACCTGAACCAGGTGGAAACTGGTGCCACCACTGGCCCAGGTCTACCTGCCTCGGGTGGAATCTGATTTCACATAGTGGGTGTTTGGTCTACTGGACACTTCTGGGGCACAAGTCTGGGCTTCAGAGTGAAAAAAAAGTGCAGTTTAGAAACCCTAAGATCCTGCCTCCCGCTCCTTCAGAGAGCCGCCCCAAACAGTCTGGGTAATGCTGGAATTCAGACGCAGTTGCTGTGGCCAGCACCCAGACAGGAAGGTCATTCATCTGAACATACAAAGGAACTTCTTATTTTTTTTTTTTTAATATTTTGTGGTGCTTTAGAGAGGAGTCAAGATCTTTAGGGGGAAAACCATGATGCTGGAAGAGCAGGCCCTGGCAAAAGATTTGCACCCTGAACCCCCAAGAGGGCACGTAAGTGAGGAAGGCAGGCGGTGGCGGGCAGGCCCTTGGCCAGCGTAGCCACTGGGTGGGGAAGAACAAACATGCCACATGAAAAACAAGGAGCTTTGGTCAGGGGGAAGATCTGTTTTCCAGCTGCAGGATAGCAGGCACACCAGGAGCTAGAAAGAGTCTAAAAACAGCTGGATTAAGGGATCACAGAACTACTGGAGAAGAGGCAACCGCAGCCCTCCAGAGAACAACGGGACTCGGTTCTTTTTGTCTCTGACTTGACAGACAAAATTGAACACACCACTAGTACAGAAAGTGCATATGGGGGACACAGTTGTCAAAAAGGCAATACTGAGACATAGGTAGTCTCATCACTAAACAGAACTGCAAGGACAGGCATTCACACACACCAACTATAGCTCCAAGGGTGTTGTGTTCACAATATATCCCTGTACACTGTGAGCATCTTGTGTGGGAGCTAGCAAAGTCCCAGTAGAGGGTTCCAGCAAAGCAAGGGGGAACAACAGCCCTCCTGCTGGGTCCTGTGTCTCAGTTCTAACCCCAGAAACAGCCCCAGCCACTTATTCTAAGCTCCCTGAGGATCCCAGCTCACAGCCGTATGCCCTCACTCCCACCCACCCCCACTCCCCAGCCTGGGGTTCTCTGAAAGGGAGGAGGGAATCTAACTGAGGAAAAGGATCTCACACTAATTAGCTCATCATTTAAAAGTAACATATCAGTGACTTCTGCCAAAATGAAATGACAGAGCCTCGGAAAATTAGAAAATAACTCTGCCATGTTTAAATCAAGATTTTTTTTTTTTGGAGGGGGGAAGGAGCAGAAAGGGTTAGGAGTGAAGTGCTATGCCGTATGAGCTGGTGCCAAGAGAGAGCCAGGAATGATGCTCTGTTAAAGGGGGATGAGCCCGTGCAAACTGCCCGCTGGAGCCAGGACCAGAGAAGACAAGCTGATCCCCAGCTCCCTAGCATCCTCATGGGGCTTGGACACAGGACGCAGTGCTGAAAGTAGATTACAAGAGCTGGCAGATGGGTCGGGCAAAGGTGGCAGTAACTGGTGGGCTGGAAAAAGTGCAGGGGTGGGGGCTTAGAGCCCAGACCCCTCCAGCCCCAGCAGGGTGCCCAGGTTGCCAAGGTGATTTACAACAACGGTGCCAACTGCCCCCAGGAGCAGCCACCATGGACTGCAGGGGAGCTGCAAGAGGTAGACATTGAGCAGAAGCGACACTGAGCTCACACAGGCGCCTGCTGTGTATACAGATGTCTGGCCCTGGGGTGGCCTGCTAACAGCTAGGGCTGGCCTCAGAAGCAGCCCATGGGGGCACAGAGGCAGCCCAGGGCAGCTCCATCACAGGTGCGAGCCTGGGCCAGGGGCTCAGTAGCAGGAGGACCTAGGCAGACTTTGAGGGGCCCCAGGAGAGCCAAGCCCTGCCACCCTCAGGGTGCTGCCCACTTAGAGGCTCAAACCAAGCTATGTGGTAGCTGGAAGGGAAAGGATACAACAGCTTGGGCCAAAATTCCAAGAAGTCCCCAGAACCCGGGTATCTCAACTCTACGGTTTCCAGAAAGCAACAGGGGAATGGGTCTGAGCAGAGCTGGGGGTGGAGGAGCCAGATCAGTATCCTCCAGGGAGGGCTCTGTCCCTGGGATACCCATTTTAGCATCAGAGCAAAGCAGCCCTGCTGTGGCTCTCCATGGAGCAGACTTTCTCTGAAGCAGAACCTTTCAGCAAAGCTGTGTGCAAAGGGCCTGTTAGCCTGCACGCTGAAGACTCAGGGTCAGAGGTTCAGGGCTGCCTATGAGTCAAAAACTTACACCTACCTCAGCTGGGGCCTGGACCCCCTCCAATTTACAGATGGAAAACTGGGTCCAGAGAGGGCAAGCAACAGACTCACAGGCACACAGCCAGCCCACCTGGGCCAGAACCCAAGTCTGCAGCCTCTCCCAGGGGAGGGCACAAGGCAGGGATCCTGGAAGATGAATCTGTCCTCAAGGGCCACCAGAGGATGGTGAGGTTACTGAGGACAATGGTAAGGGGCACAAGACAGCTGCAGGTGGACACCAGCACCAGACCCGGCCCCAGGGCTGTGGACAGACACCACGCACATGAGGATGAACCTAGGGGACGTCCTCTCACTCCCAGAAAGTGACCACTTTGTCATAAGTGTCAACCTGGAAGCGGTGATTGGGGGATGTCACAAGGAGAGTGGGCATAAAATGCCACTCACTCCTCCACAAGACAGCCAAGAGGCAGCACCTGCCAGCGGCTGTTGGTCCCCCCACTAGGGCCTTCTCCACACAGAGCTCACCTCGCCTGGCCGCGGAAGACTGGGGATTCTGAAAGATGCCTGACTCTGCCGGAACTGTGGGCTCCAGCTGGCCTGTCCCCAGGATGACACAAACATCAGCCCTGACTAGGGCTCGCCGTCCCTGCATGGGGAGGCGGCGGCGGCGGAGGCTCTGAGAACCAGGGATTTCACCCGGTCACAGCTCCGGAGCTCTCCCAAGGCCAGAAGGGTCCCTCCCTACTCTGATTGGACATGGCTGGACAGACACGGGAGGGAAAAAGCAGGAAAACGCCTGTGTCGGGGAGAAGGCAGCCCTCCCGTCCCTGCAGGCAGCCTGGTCGCCCCCCTGCTCTGAGCACCGCCTGCCCCTCAGGGCACCGACTCGAACTTGGGGGGCCCACGTGCCCAGCTGAGGGCAGGCAGCGGCCGCTCGTGGTCCTTGTCAGACTCGGGCTGGCTCTGGGCCCGCTCGGGCTTGGGGGTGGCAGCCGGTGGGTCGGGCTGCTGCACCGACAGTGTCCTGCGCAGGTGGTTGCGCTTACGCAGGAACTCAGGCTGCGCGTGCAGGCCAAAGCTGCCCTTGCGCAGGATCATGCGCGAGTTGTTCTTCTTGGGGCGTGAGCGGTGGCTGGCCTCCAGCGTGGCCAGGTGTGCAGCATAGCCTTCGCTCAGGAACTACGAAAGAGATGAGTGTGAAGCTAACAAGGAGAGTGGATCCCTGCTCCTGGTCCTGTCCCCAACCGTGACTCGGGCATCTCCAGCTTCTCCTCGGACCCCGTGCAGTTTAGGGATCTTTGTGGATGCTGCCTCCCTATCCCTCACCTCAAGGACTCAGTGAACATGGCCAGACACAACCCATTCGATGCACCTACTGCTCCAACTCCCTGTCCCCTGCCGGCCTGCACCAAGCTGGTCCCAGGCCATTCCCAGATGTTTCTCTGCTGCTTTCTGACCTTGGCTTTTGCTGCTGCCTTGGCCACAAAGGAATGGGCTCTCAATCTCAGTTCCTTTCGGAGCAATTCCTTTGAAATTTGGAAAGCCAGCCTTGTCCTGGAGGCTGGGTTAGCTGCTCCTCTCCAGAATGTGTCTGCCTGGCAACTATCAGGGCACTTGCCATGCTACACTGTGACAGTCTGCAGATGTCCCATCTCCCACACTAGACTAGGTGGCATTACACCTGTCCCTGGGGCTCTCCCATGATCTAACTCAGCCTGGTCCAAGGCAGGGGCCAAGAAACATTGAATGAATGAATGAATGAATGAATGAATGAATGAATGAACAAGTAAGCCATTGGATGAAATAATAAATGAATTATTCTTCTATGATCCTTTCCCTGGCTGTCAGCCCTCAGCCCCCAGCCTTGCCTCCACCCACCTGGCACTGGGTTTGGTACTTCTTGGTGGGCCGGCCCACAATGAAGATCTGGGAGGCTGGCAGGCCCAGCACGCTGTAGACGGAGATGTCCTTGGTGGAGCCGTAGGCAGCACTGATTTTGATGAAGCACTGGAATACAGGGCAGCTCATGAGCAAGGGGAAGCCCAGCAGCCCTCCCTGGGAAGGCTTCCCACACCAGCTCAGGGAGCCCCTGTTTGGGAACCTGTATCCACCCTCACACTTCATGCCCTGGTGCCACCCTGTGCTGGGAACCGACTCCCAGAGTTCCTGTCCCTCCCCACACCTCTAGCTTGATACAGGGCTCTGCTTGGTAACAACCAGACCACTTATTGACACTGCCTTGGTTAGCACTACACATAAGTTATGTAACAATGGGGACAAATGTCCACTTGTGGATAAGGAAATTGAGTTTCTGCATCACAGGGCCAGGATTAGAGGTCAGTTCCAAGCTGGTCCTCCGCCTGCTGCCTCTGACTGGTTGGTCCGATGTTCTCCCCAGAAGACCCACTCCAGTCAAGAAAATGACTCAATGTCCTTGCACCACCAGCACTTTCAGATCGTCACTCTACCCTCCCCACTGTATCAAACTACCTCCTCCTTGGAGGGGCTCACCACCCAGTCATCCCTTGCCTTAAGTGCCTCTGCATAAGTCACCTTCTTTTCTCCCAAGTGCACTGGGCACTTCAGTCCTGTGTCTCTGCTTTCCTTCCTCCTAAATTGCACCATTGCCAGGGTGCCTTAGCATCCATGTGGAGAGCTTGCTGCCCCCACACTCAGGAATCCTCCAAGCTAAGACCCACCTTCTCCACCCCTCATCCCACTGCATCGCCCTCTAGGCCTTCAGAGGTTCCCTTCGCCACTGAGGTCATGTAGTAACCAGTCATGCAGGCCAGTCCTCACCATCCCACAGTGCTGCCTGCTTGAACGTCTCCCTGCTTGACAAGTGGGGCCTCCCTGGCCTGGCTCTCTTCCCCTTGACCTTTCCTCTTGGTTCCCTGGCCAGTTTCTGTCCTGCTCTTGGAGGCCCAGTGCAGCCTCTTGGTCCTATCCTTCCCCAGGGATGCCTCCCCACCCATGGTTTCACTGGTCTCTCTCACACAATGGCTCCATCCTCTATCTGCAACCCACAGAACTCTTCCTTGAGCCACATGCTGGGGCTGACATGGCTGGTGGCCCATGGCCATATCAGCCTCCACACGTCCACAGCTAAGCTCATCTCTCTCTAGCTGCCCTTCTGCCCATGTCCGCTCTCACTTCACTCACTCATTCATTCATATATTCATTCAACAAACATGCCTTGAGCGCCTACTGTGAGCCACTGTTATTCCAAATCCCAGAGATACATTGTAGAGCAGCACAGACATGAATTCTAACCTCCTTAGAGGCAATGATCAGACAAGTAGCCTGGATCCCTCCTGGCCGTGCAACAGAACATCAGAGAGTTCCTCACACACTACATCCAACTGTTACCAAATCCTGAGGATTCCACTTCCTGATTCTCATGCCTGCATATGTCTTTCTCTCCATTCCATGGTCACCACCTGGATTTGGTCTTCTTCTCTCTTGCTTGGCAATAGCCCCTTAACCAGCTTTCCTGTCTCTCCTTTTGTCTGTCAGCTAGCTCTCCACATAGCCATCAGAAGACTCTTTGTATGACTCAAACTAAACACTGCCATTCCCCTACTTCAGGCTCTTCCATGGCTCCCCATTGTTCTCGGAAAGGAGTCCATGAGCATGGTCTGATTTTCAAGTCTTCTGAGGCCTGCCATGCTTGTGTCCCTGGAGACATGTGGGGCCTCAGTTCCCACCTGACCTGGGTCTGACCCTGCCTGTATACACCCTCATCTTGGGTATCTGCAGCCCTAAAAATATTTCATGATCTTTCTATTTATTTATTTATATGTTTGGCACAGGGTCTCACTATGCAGCTCAGACTCATAGTTAGTGATCCTTCCATCTCAGCCCCCTCAGTGCTTGGATCACAGGCATGTGCCACCATGCCCAGTTTCAGTGGCAGGCTCTGCACAGGACCAGCAAGACATGCAGTACCGGGAATCAAATTTGGGTCCTTGTGCTTGCCAGGCTGGTGCTTAGACTGCCCAGCTATCTCCCTGGGCCCTCATGATCTTTCTTGCCTTTGTGCCTTTGCTCATGGTAAAAGTTGTCAAAATCAAAATGGAGCTGTTTGTGTCAATCCTAACAAAAACTAAATAAAGCTGGGAGCTTATGAAGGAAGAGTTCCTATTCATGACTGCCTAACAGTAAATATTACAAAAGACACTGCCAGAATCACAGCCTTCCACAGAAGGCTGCAGTAACCTTATACCAAAGAGACTCCTTCGAGGACATCTGCTCAGCAACAGTCTACCGAACTTCAGACTGATGCCACCCTTGTTATTATCATTTGTGGCCAAAGATAATTATTTCAAGATACTCTGTGTAACTCTCCTTTTGCCCTCGAAAAATCTGCCCTTGCCTCAAACTCTTTGAACCAGTACAGAATGAACTGTGCCACGCACATTTCCATGGCAATGCTACTCCCAAACAAAACTTCATTGTGCTCCAATTCTAACTTGCTTGTTTCAGTCTTGACAACTCATACTCATGCTTCAAGATTAAGCTCAAGGGCTGGTGAGATAGCATAGTGATCTAAAGCGCCCACTTAGGCAAGCTTAGACAAAGCGCAGGGATGGCGGTTCAATCCCTGGCATCACATACTGCACCAGCCCCGCCCCCAAGGCAGGCTGAGCCAGCCACAAAAAAAAAAAAAAAAAAAAAGATAAAGCTCAAAAGTTACAACCTACTAGAAGGCTCCCCCAACCTCCCTTGGCAAACAAATTCTCTTTCCTCTGTTTGCCAGTAGCAGCTCTTTTCAACCACACACCAGTAATTGTCAATTTGCATGGCTTTCTTCCTCGACATCAGGACTGGCAGGCTTTCTCTCTGAAAGGCTAAACAGTAAATATTGGCGACTTTGTGCTCCATCACAACGACTCAGCTCTTCTGCAGCAGCACAAAAGCAGCCACAAACGCTACAGACACAAATGAGCTTGGCTGTGTTCCAATAAAACTTTATTTATGGACACTGAGACCTAAATTCATCCAATGTTCATTTGTCAATCCCTACTCTAGGTCTATGCTTCTCAGTTATTTTCTGTGCAGCAGAATCCCCAGGAGGGTTGTGAAGACACAGCTGAGCCTCCAACCCAGAGTTTCTTGATCAGTAAGTCTGAACCAGAAGCTCTGAATTTCTGATTAACTCTCAGGTTCTTGGAAAGATGTTGGTCCCAGGCCCACATGATGCAGAACCACAGACCAGGAAAGCAGGTTTTTGTGTGGGCCCAACAACACCAGGCACAGAGTAAGGAACACAATAGGCACTTAAATGTCTATTGAGTGAAAATTCAGTTGTAAAGACAAGAGTTTAGGCTTTAGAATCAGGAAATAAAAAAGGATGACTAGCAATAAAGATAATACCTACTTCAAAAGACTGCTAAAAGGATAAGAGATCCAAAAATGTGGTCTTTGTACAGTGCACTTGATCTTGTGCCAACAAACTACTGGAAGTGTGGGGTTCCACCTGGTTGTGGAAGAGGAAGGGAGCATGGGAAGGCATGGTCGATCCCTCTCCTGGCCAATGAGAGTCTACTGCCAAAGCCCCGCCCCACCCCAGGCCTTCACTGACCTCCTGCATGAGGTTGCGGAGAAAGATGGCCTTCTGCCGCAGTGGGTCGTGCACCAGCCCGTCCGAGAAGAAGATCATGCCCTGTGGAAAGTTGTGCTGGGACAGCCACGACACCACCCGCTGCTTCTGCATGTCCGGCCGCCCCGTGATGTAGAGGATCATGTATCCCAGGTCTTGCCAGTGCCTAGCGAGATGGCATTGGAGGCTCCAATTCAGCCCTGCAAGCCACCTACTGCCCTGCAATCTGCCCCAGGTGCTGCTGCCCTCCTGAGAAGCCAGGGGGCTATTCTGAGGAACATTAGGAAGATAAAATAGAACCTCAAAATCCACACTCCCAGATAGCCCGTAAACCTGTGCTCCCACCTGGACTTGCTATACTCATGCCCTTTGTCAGGCGGGGGAGATAGCTCAGTACAATAAGCTCTTGCCTGGCAAGCTCAGGGTCCTGAGTTCAATCCCCAGTACTGCAAAAAAAAATAAATAAATATACTCATGCCCTCTTCCAGAGCCAGAGAGGGGACACCTGTCCCTCAGCCCCTCCACCTGCCTCCCTCCCTCCTGCAGCGAGCAAGGCAGGCAGCTTTACCAGGCTATCTCTTTCACTCTACCAGCACCCTTCCTTAGCTCAGGCCCCCTCTTACTGCGAGGCTACTACCAAAGTCCCCGGATAGCCTTTTTCCCTGCAGTCCTCCCACTCCAGTCTGTTTCCACAGAGCCAGGGACAGCTGGAGGTCAGAAGTTCCTCAGGGATCATGAGGCAGTCTGGCTGTTCCTCCCAAGTGCTGCCCATTACTGGGGTGGGATGGACAGTGCCACCTCAAACCCCAGGAACTCCCAAGAGCCTACATCTGAATCCCAATTCATTTCTCATCGCCATAATTTGTTTTCCCCACTGGATTCAGGTTTCTTCAAACAGCAGCAATATCTGCATCGGTGCCAGCCCTGAGCCTGGGAGTCAGCCTCAGAAAAAGGTCGCATGGGTGCAGGGAAAAGAAATGGAGGAAAGAAGGAAAGAAGAGAGGGAGGGAAAGAAGAAGGCAGGGAGGGAGGGGAAAAGGGAGGGAAAGAAGAAGGCAGGGAGGGAGGGGAAAAGGAAGGGAAGGTAGGAGAAAGGAGAGGAGAAAATAAGGGTGGTAGATAGATTTTTCAATAATTTTCAGTAAGTTACTGTCATAAGTAAAGCCACGACTTTTCAACTCCCAGCCTGAGACCCAGGGGGGAAAAAATTCTTGAAAATTTTCTTAAAATCTTTCTTATACTATAGCCCAGGCTGGTCTTGAACTGACAGTGATCCTCCTACCTCAGCCTCTCAAGGGCTGGAATTACAGGCATACACCACCACCGCTGACTAGAGAATTCTTAGAGACAACCAACAAAAGCAACACCCTCCCCCAGGGGCCTCTGGCTCCTGCCACAGAGGGGACATCCTTGCACAGGAGGTGGCACTCACCGCACCACATCCACTGCACCTGGCCGGACCTTGGGATCGCTGCCCATGATGGACACGCTGGCTGCAAAGGACCCATCGATGCTGAACACCACACACTCCATGCCCCTGGGCAGCACTGTGAGGTAGCTCATCGCACAGGTCTGGTCACCCCTGAAAGGTATGGGAGACCCATGTCAGCTGTGACAGGAGTCGTTGTGGGGCTAGCATCAGAGAGGATCTGAGCGGCGTCTCCTGGGGCCAGAGCTGGCGGCTTCTCCCGTTTCCTCTCTTCGTGCGGACAGCTTGGGCCGAGGACCTGCCCTCTGGATGGACTTTTCTAGAATGGCTGTGGAAATGAGAGACGTCACCATGAGAACATGCCCCCAGTCCCACCTGACAACCATCTTCACGGGGTAGACACCAATCCCCAAGCGCCGGGGCCGGGGCACGTTGTAGGTGATCCTCCCGCTGTTGTTGGTGATCTCTGTGTCCAGGTGCACCCAGCGGCCTGAGGAGGGCTCTGCCATCACCAGGATGTCCACCTGCAGGCGGTGGAGGAGGGAGGAGACTCAACGCAGGCTGAGCGGTGCAGGCTTGGCAGAGGCTGGGCTGGGGCGCTTTGTTACTGCCTGCATCCCTGGATTTTACCACTCTCCTTCCCCGCTCCACTGCAGCCAGGTCCCTCAGTGCCTCCCTCACTTTGCCCCTGGCCTTTGCTCCCTGTCCAGGCCAGGTGAGAGGCACCCTGCTCTCTGCCTCCCTCACAGGCGGCTTGACCCTGAGGAAACCCTCACCCCTCACATCACATCTGGCACACGTGGACCAGCTCTCAGGAGATACCTGGCCCTCAGTACCTTCTCTCCAGTCAGAGCTACCATGTCAAGAGGCCCATACATGAAGCGTCCCACCAGGACCTGGGGGCCATCTTCAGCAGCAATCACATCATTGGCCCGGTGATTAGCAGTGACATTCTGGAAGGACAGAAAGAATCTGGCTCAGCCTCAACAAGCAGCACTTCAGCTGGCTATGTGTGGAAAGCAGCCAGGATGGCTGCAGGGGTGTGGGCTATGGAATCATGGCTCCTCTGACTTCTGCTAGGGATCCAGAGATGGGTTCCTATAAGAGAAAGAGATGTGAGCCACTAATACTGTCTTCAAGGCACCCTGAGCTTCTCATGGAGGTGAGTTTACTGCTTTGACCTCTCTGCATGCCCCTGGAGTGACCGTTGGTCCTTGCATCCTAGTCTTCTCGAGTTCTAGGCTGGAAACTTCCCAGTCACCTTTCACTTCTCCCTCTGCCTCACAGAGCCATTTGCCACCCATCTTTTTTTACTAGAAAATTGCAGATGCACAGGGAGAATAACACAGCACTGCCTTCGGCCTGCCTGCAGGACCACTGCTCACAGCCCCCTGCCATTCTGGCCTCATTCTCCCCAGCCTCGCCCAGTCCAGGCATTTGTGGAGCAATCGGAACAATACCATGCTCTCTACACCACCTCAGCCTCCCTTCTCTTCACTTCTGCCTCTAGTTCATTCCATAGCTCCAAGACCTGTGTCAGCCCTGACTACACGCCATACCCAGGCTGGCCTTTGACACTCATGTCCCTCAACCTGCTGGCCCTTCCACACAGCTCTGGCCACAAGGGTGTCTCTGCCACACCCACGCTACCCATTGGCTGGACTCTGAGAGGGCTTCCCAATGCCATTCTGTATCCAAAACCTACCCCCAGACATCCTTGTAAGGCTCAGACCCATTAGCACCTTGCCAGACTGGCTCCCCACATTCTGCACAAAGTCCCAGTCCGGAGTTCAGCATTCTGAATGTGGCCTGAGCAACTTCCACTCTACAGTCAGGCTCTGCAGGGCCTCCAGGCCTTCGCTCATGCTGAGCCCCCCACTCTGTATGCCATTCGTAACCCTCTGCTCCCACAGCCCAGCCCACCTGCTAGGACCAGACTCAAAACCTCCTCTCAACTCCTATGATCTTTTAGTTCAACTCAACAAACATCCATGGGCACCTCATTTACAGGGTCCCTGAAAACCAGCAGCCATGAGCCCTGCCCTGGAAATACCCATGCAAGTGGGGGGCACTGCCCTCTTACAGGAGCCCTATGGAAGGAAGAGCTGATCGTGGGGATACGCATGTGAGACAGTCAACATACTCATCAGGGGAACGCACATCAAAACCATAAGGAGATACCCCAGCATTGCCTAGAATGACCACAGTCAAAGGGATAGAAGTGACAGGTGCTGCTGAGATGGGGAGAAATCAGAACCCACAGAGTCAGAACTCTAACTGCTGGTCAGAGTGTAAAACAATGCGGCTACCATGGAAAACTGTCTGGCAGTTCCTCAGATGACTAAACACAGAGTTACCATCAGATCCAGCCATTCCACTTGCAGGGCTGAACCCAAAAGAAATGAAGGCATATGCCCACAGAACACATATGCACAATTGTTTATAGCACCATGCGCCATGACAGCCAAGAGGCAGAAACAACCCAAATGTCCATCAGCTGACGAATGGATAAAGGAAATACAGCCTTTCCATGCAGTGAAGTATTACTCAGCCATGAAAAGAAATAAAGTTCTGACACCTGCAGCAACATGGATGAACCCTGAAGACGCTAGATTAAGGGAAAGAAGCCAGATACAAATGAACTGCCCAGAATAGGCAAATGTACAGAGACACAGAGAAAATGTCTGCTTGCTTAGAGAAAGGGGAGGGGGTGGGGACCTGGGAAGACTGCTGAAGAGTACATTTTCTTTCAGAGATGATAAGCATGTTCTAAAAGGTTTAGTTTAAAATGGATGAGCTAGGGCTGGTGAGATGGCTCAGTGGTCTAAAGCACCTACTTAGAACAAGCTAAGCTTAGCAAAGCACAGGGACCGCGGTTCAATCCCCCAGCACCACATGCCAGCCAGCCCCGCCCCCTGGTGGGCTGAGCTGGCCACACACACACAAAATAAATAAATAAAGTATAAAAAAAAATGGATGAGCTATATGATATGTAAATTACATATTGATAAATATATTTGCAAAAGAAATAATTGATTCATGAAGCACTTATCACCCTCTACCTCGGGATTGTTCTGGAGCCCTCTGCAATCCTCCTCCCACCAGACTGGAGCTGCCCAGCACAGGAATGGCAGTGTCTATGAACAGCTCAGACCATACCTGCTCCTAGCAGAGGGACTGAGACAGAGCAGGCATCGATGAGAGTTTGCTGCCTGAGTAATAAATGTGTGCACCCCAAACTCCTATTCATCCTCTGATAACCTACAGAAAAGCCTCCTTTGCAACGAAGCCCTATATGAACAGTCCTGACAATCCTTCTTTATTCTAATCTATGCTTCTCTCTGTCGTAATTACGAGCCTGAATCCCAGCTGTGTGGGTACTGACCTCCAAAGGCAAATTGAAGCTCTTATCTACCATGAGGATGTCCCAACCCTAGGGCAGCCCCACTACCCCAGGCCATTGTCCCAAGGCTTGTGATCCCAGGCAGGCACCTACCCGCAGTTTGACCTGGGTCCGCTTGCGAAGCCACTTCTCGCGGGGGTTGCTGGGGCTCAGCGCCGCAGAGTCCAGGCCAGCGTTCTCCTTGATGCTCACGCTCTCGTAGCGCATCACCTGGCCAAAGCGAAGCAGGTCCCTGGGCAGACGCTCATGGCACTGGGCCCCTCTGGGGCATTACAGCCCACCGACTTGTGGCCAGCCAGGCCCTCCCTGGGTCTCCCCGCCTCCCAGCCAGGACCCCCTCAGGGGGCTGAGGCCCAGGAGCCTGTCCTGACAGCTGAGCCACAGCACTGATAACCAGAGGGCTCTGTTGGGGGGCACAGCCTCTGCTCTCCACGCCTGCACCCACTCTCTGCCCTCCTTCCTGAACCCCCCAGAACCCGGAACCCAGCCCTTTCCCCTGCTCACTGTCGTCTCTCCAGCAATATCCCAGGCCCAGCCCTGCCTCTGGGACCAGACACTCCTGGGCTACTCCCTGGAGCACCCATTTATGCCCCGATAGCCCCCATCCTAAAGGAAAACCCCCAGAACCCTTTCTGCCTCTCCACCTTCCTCACTGCTGCCTGCCCACTCTGAGTTCCCCTCTGACCTCAGCGATGTCCTCTGCTGTCCCCATAGGTCCTCCTCAGGCAGGACTCCAGGACATATCCCAACCTGCTCTCTCCAGTACCCCCTGGGCACCGTCACCTGGCTTCAATGCCACCCCATGCCGATGACTTCCACATTTTGGGCACCAGTCCTGGCCTCGTCCCTAAGCTCTGGGCTCTTCTACTTGCTTCTCTCCCCAGCAACAAACAGGAGCCCCAGGCTTGGGCTTCCCCCACCCACCCCACTCAGCTTCGTCCCCACTCCAGGAAATGGCTCCCCCATAGTCACTCCAAGGAAAACAGGTCTTGCTGGGCTCCTTCCTGTCCCCGCATCCCAGAACTCAGAGTGCCGCCACAGGAAGTCCAGGTTCGCCTCTTGGGCCCCTCCGACCTGTGCCCTCCACGCTGTCTTTTCTAAGCTGAGCTCCTGCGCTCGCCTCCTCAGGGAACTCAGGCTTCTTCTCTTACTCCCAAAGCAGCAGCCCCAGAGTTTCCCTCTCAAACCCCAAGTCATGTGACAGATGTTCCTTGCTCACAGCCCCACTGTGGCTTCTCACAGAAGTCAGGTTAAGATCCTACCCAGACCTTGGCCATCCAGGCTGGCCACGAGCTGCCCCCACCTGCCCCTCATCCCACATCCCCCAGGGTCCTCCAGGGACTGCTCTTCCTGCTACACCTGCCGTTCTAAAGACGAGGACATGGGGCTGCAGAGAGAGCAGGAACAAGTTGCTCCACTCTCCACACTGACACACCACGATGTTCCGCTACTTCATTTCAATTTAATTTTCCAGCAAGTACCACTCTGTGAGCCACTCAGAAGTGAATGTTCTTTATGAAATCCCCTCTCTGACCATGTCACCACTCCTCCTGGTTTAAGTGCCCAAAGCCTTCTCAGTGCTGCTACCATGCCAGGGCACTGGACAGAAGTGCACGCCGATAATGCAGCACTCAGGAGGCTGAGACAGGAGGATCACAGTGAGTTCAAGGACAGCCTGAACTACATAGCAAGACCTGGGAGATGTGGAGGGAAGAGAGAGAGACAGAGACAGACAGACAGAGACAGAGAGACAGACAGACCAACTGACCAGGGGTCAGCACTGTCTGAAGGAGAAGACTGGGTTACTCTGGAAGAGCCTACAGCCAGGCCCAGCGAAGGAGCAACAGTACCTGTCTCAAGATGAAGGCAACCACGTCTGTGGACTCCCAGTAGCTGGCGTGGAAGAGATGGGGCAGGGCCACGGTGGGGAAGGCAGTGAGGACATCAGGGCAGTAGAGAGCATAGTCGATCCGCTTGGTTCCCCACCACTTGGCTCTGACTGCAGGCCCAAGAAGAAGGTGAGGACAGAGCAGCCAAGGGGCTGTGTGGGACTCTGGCCACACAGACCCCACAGCAGTCGAGCTTAGGGCCCGAGCACTCTGCCATCACTGAGCTGAGGGCGGTGGCTGCTCCCTTCCAGCCACCTTCTCACCACACAGCAGCCCCGTCACCTGTGCACCCCTCCTCCAGACTGAGCCCCTCCCAGGAAAGCATCACCCCTAGACTGCTGCTTAGCAGTAGGTTGGAGGTCAGGGCTCAATCAGGGCACTGAGAGGTCACAGAGTGGCCCATGATCAGAGATCAGAGCCCTACCCAAGGTCAGGGATCAAGCTTCTGTCCAAGATGACCACTCAGCCCCAGGTTAGGATCAGGGATCAAGGCTCTAAGCAAGAGCAAAGCTCGGGGGCCAGGGAGATGACTCAGTGGAACAAGCGCTTCCCTGGCAAGCGCAAGGGCCTGAGTTCAAAGCCCAGTTCCGCAAAAGAAAAAAAAGAGCAAAGCCCATATTAGCCAGGGTTAGCGTGTGGGGCCTGTCCAGGGTCAGAGGTCAAGGTTCACTGCCTAGTCTGGGAAGTCAGTGAGGATTCAGTTGGAAGCCAGGTCTCTGCCAACAGACCCACAGTTCTGCCAAAGGCAAGAATGCCGCCCTCTTGCCTACAGAGGGCTGCCTGCAGCAGTGTGGCTATAGACCCAAAACCACCCCATGAAAGGGCCCCTCTCTCCAAAATGCAGGCAGGGCCCCAAAAGGACCTCACTCACTGCGGGAGGCACCCACAGGCGCCAGGCTGTCCAAGGACTCAGAGCTGTCACTGGGGGAGCTGCCCTCGCTCATCCTGCGTCCTGCACGCTCAAACCTTGGGGCTTGAGGGAGTGAAGCAGAGGCATCCAGAAGCGGGGGGCTGCCCTGGGAGCCACCCTCCAGGAACAGGGGGCTGTGAGTGTGCAGGGCATCAGCTAGAAAAGGAAGTGCAAGGTCAGGGTAAGTAGTGGGTCTCCAACAGAGTTGGCCACTTGGTGCCAGCCTTGTGCTAGGCAGGAACCCAAGCAGGCAGAGGAGCCAGCCCCAGCCCAGCAGCAACCTGCACCACACACCACACACGCACACACACACACACACACACCCATATATACATGCACACATATGCACACCCATGGATGCACACATACACACATCTGTGCATGCACACATACACACACATGTACACACACACACAAATGCATGCCCCACTGGGACTGAAGGGTCTCCTTTCAAAGTACATAGCTGTTTCACCTTCTCTGCACTTGCAAGCGATGCAAGCAGGTATGAGAGTTCCAACCACCACCCTCACTCCCAAGAAAGCTACAGAGGAGCCTGGAAGACACCCCAAAGCACAGCTGAGGTCATGGGGATGGCAAGTAACCATGTCTCTCCTGTCATATTCCTCCTCCCAAGCTACAAAGGATTGTGGCTGACTTGGAAGTGAGTGGAAATGAACTCTAGCCAGGGGGAGCTGGTGTAGCCACTATGGGTGCAGGGTCCTCTGTCCAAAGAGGGGACACTTGAGGGTTGGGGAGGAGCCTTGGAGCTTTGCCTACTTGACAAAGCTCCTAGCACAGCAGGGATTTTGGAAAGCTTATGTCTCTGAAATGAAGGCTTGGGAGAGGCTGGGTCTTAATCCTTTGGGCCATAAGTACACCATCCCTCCATCTCTGGCCAGCAACTGAGCAGGCTCAGGCTACTGCCCCTCTGCCATGGTATACAGTCAAGGCCTGGATCCCCAAAGCCCCAGGCTGTCATTTCGGGCCTGCCCTCAGCTTCACCCCCTTTAAGTCCTGGAAGCCTCTGACCCTCCCCCCACACACCTGTCATGGCTCCCCATCCCGGCTCCCCATTGTGCCCTCCTCCTCCAGCTCTTTTCTGCCTACTCAAATAAACTTTCCCTACAAACCCCTGGTCAAAGGCCACCTTTGTCACAAACCCTGATGGCTTAGCCCTCCTATCCTTCCAGAATCCAGGCTGGGACTCGGGAATGATACTGGACATAGATCCCTGGGCTTGCCTTGGACTCTGACTACTCCACCCTTACACTGGCTCACCCCCACAGCAGAGCCACCTGGGGCCTGCTGAGAACATAAGGGCTCTCCAGCCGCAAGCTGCCTGTACAGATCAAGTGCTTGGCACACTGGCCACTCTGAAGACAGGGGAGTCAGTAGCTCCCTGTTTGTTCCTCCAGGAGAGTGCAGGCCCTGTTCAAGGAGTCACCTCATCAGCTGACAGCTCGAAAGGCTGGACCAGAGAGGGGTCCTTCAGGGTCAACTGGCTGAGCCCAGCCTCCAGCCCTGGGCACCTACCCAAGAGGAGAGAGTGTCCATCACCCAGGGGGAACCTCTGGTAGCGGGGCACACTGACGGGGGGCACCAGGTGGAACCTGGGCTCCAACAGAGGCTCAAGCCGTGAGGCAGAGGGGTCTGCGCAATGGAAGAAGCTGTAGACCTGGCTGCAGGCAGGACGCATCTGGAAACCTGGGGTAAGTGGGGAAGACAGAAGGAGAAGCCCCTTTATAGTACCTGCCCCCTTGACTCCAGGAGGCTCCCTGGAGTACAGCTCTGAGTAGCCTTCTCCTCCATTCAAGAACCTTTCATGGTTCCGGGCTACCAAATGGAACAAAGTTGTTACATTCAGCTGCCATTCAAAGTCTTGCCAATCTTCCCACCTATGAGTGCCACCACAGACAGCCAGCAAAGCACTGCCAGAACAACAGTGAACGTCTGCAATTGCCTAATCCTACTCACTGCTTTCCTCTCTCTCTGCCTTTGTTCAAAGAGTGCTGTCTTCCTAGAAGAGCCTCTCTCCAGTTTCCATTGGTCAGACTCTTTTCAACTCCTCCAGCTTTAGTTACTACCTAACCTATGAAACCAATATCAGTTCCTTAAATCAGGACAACTGCCCCTTGCTCGGGGTCCCCAGTCCCCAGACCACACTCAATTCCTAGGTGAAGAAGGAGATGGGCGTTGAGGCTTGTTGGAGGTAGCAGGGCACTTCTCTCACTGGCCAGCAGATGTCTCCACTGAGACCCTGCCTCTCCAGCTGGTCTCCCTTCCTGGATCAGCCTACCAAACAGGCAGCCTCCAGCGAAGCCCAGAGATCCTGGGCAACGCCGGTGGCCCTGAGCTCTGCTTCCTCTCCTCACTGCAGCCACAGCCGCTTCCTCTCTAGCTGGTCACACTGGAGGCTGTCCGTGAGCTTCAGGGAAAGCACTGATTAGCTGACACACAAGATGCCCTTCAGGCTGTGAGTGTGCTCCTCTCCTCTGTCACTGTTAAAGCCCTTGGTGACCAAATCCTCCCACACATGTATTTTGGAAGAACAGGAAAAGGTTTTCAAGGCTGCAGGTGCGTGGGCACAGGCACTGTGATGGGCCTGAATATGGGGACAAGCAGAGAAATCCACCTGGCTTCAGGGGTCTGCTGAGCAAGGGGGAGGGGGGGGAGTGAGGAGCAATGCAGTGCACATTGTAGCTTCTCTTCCCACAGAGCCTAACTATGGCGCAGGGGCCGCGAAGCCAGGGGCACGGGGCAGGGACAGGAAATCCACATGAAGTCACCTCACCACTGGCCCATCCAGGGAAGCCGCCCCCAACTTTCACTACTCTTCCCACCCCTCCTCTTCTCTTTCTCCATTGACTCCAACTCTTCCCCACCTCCCCCACGCTCCCTTCCTCCCATTTGGAGGTCCAGCTATACATACCATCCAGCCCGGGCAGCACCGTCCTGCGCATGGCCAGGACCAGGCCCAAGGGTGAGCCGAAGAGGAAGAAGTCAGACACATCAAAGTCAAAGCGGCCCAGGCTGACCTCGGGGAGTGGCGGCCCCCCGGCTGTAGAGAGCTCGACCTCGTCCTTGAGCACACTGGAGTGGATGCTGTAAAGGGAAAGGCATGGGGGCAGGGTAGGGAGGAAGCAAAGTGCCCAACCCTCTGCCTACAGGCAGACTCAGACGTTGAGAACCCTTGTCCACACCAACAAAGTCAGCGGCAATCAGTACTGCCCACCAATGCTGGGCCAACATTTCGCTGGAGCAGGGGTCAGCAAACATTTTTGCAAAGAGCCAGACAGTAATTATCTTGTACTTTATGGGCCATCTGGTCTCTAGCACAAAGACTTAATCCTGCCATCAAAGCACAAACGTAGCTACTTACTGCACATGGCTGTGACCTGCTACAGCTACATTTACAGGAATAGGCTGAGCACCTGGGACAATGGGGCATCCTGCACGCAGGCAGGGGTCCCCCTTGTGCTGCCTCATGACAGCCACACTGAGAATCCCCACGCTGTCTGCTGGAAAAGCCCAGCTTGGCCAATCCTCAGACCAGCTGGCTAATATCAGGGCTGCCAGGTTTAGGGTTTTGTCACAACTCATGTTGCAGGCAACCTGCAGGCACAGATGCAAACGGCTTGATCGTCCCACCCACTCCAGCCAGCAGATGGAACAGCTAAAGGAGAAAACAGGAGACACACAGAATCCCAACCACTTCCACCCTGGATGCCCGCTGCGCTGGAAAGAGTCTGAGTTCTATCCAGCCACAGACCCAGAGCTGGAGACTGAGGGTCAGGCAAAAAACTGGAACCTTCCCTGTGAGCCTTAGGTCCAGCTTAGAGGTCAAAACCAATGCAGGAATTGTGGAATCTACCAATCCGTGACCTGAACATAGATGCAAAGTACCAAGGTGGAGGAGAAAAATCTCTGGTAACAGTGGAAGCAGTACGGGCCCAGGTCCCAGCCCGTGGAGAAGCACACATGCCCAGCTGAATCGCTAGTCCTCGCGCCCCCTTCTGCCTCCCACTCACAGTGGTCTCACTGCGCAGACCACGACACTCGTGTTTAACTGTACATATTGCGTGTACAGCGTGGTCCCTAGACATACGCCAACTACTTAATTGCCACAGAAACAGCCATCTGTCCCTGCAGCACAGGGAAAAGCTGGCTGAGTTGAGGTAGCTACCAAAAAGCCTCAGATTTCTTGTCATTCTCCAAACTGGGGGCTTTCCGAAAGGATTTTTCAAGGGAAACCAGACGACATGTTGTGATGTTTTCACCTAGCAACTCTCACTTATGTGGAGCTGCTTTTCTATATGATAAACTGTTTAGAAGCTGTAAATAGTCAAAAGCTTAAATACACAGAGCCTAGCAATTCCACCCCTGAGAATCCATCTGAAGGAAGTACAGTAGCGCCCCCTTATTCACAAGAATACGTTCCAAGATTTCAGCAGATGCCTGAACCACAGAAAGCACCACATTGGGTATAGTGTTTCTCTTACTATACGAACATTCATATGACAAAGTCTAATATATAAATTAGACAATAAGAGAATAACAACTAATAATAAAATTATAACAATATACTATTACATAGTTATGTGAATGTGGTCTCTCATTCAAAATATCTTACTGTGCCTTCATTGTTTCACTTAAAGGAAGCGCTCTATGGCTTCTCTTCAGCATATTTAAATTGCCAGTACTACTATCCTTGTGCTTTGGGGCCATCATGAAGTAAAATAAGAGTTATTTAAGCACAAGCATTACAACATTACAACAGTCAATCTGATAACCTACATGGCCACAAAGTGACTAACAGGGAGGTAGCATATATAGCGTGGATACTCTGGACAAAGAGTGATTCACATCTGAGGCACGCCAGGAGAGAAGCAGCATGAAATTTCATCATGCTACCCAGAATGTGCACAATTAAAAATGTATGACCTACTAGTTTCTGGAATTCTCTATGTTTTTTGTTTTTTGTTTTTTTTTTTTTTTTCAGAACCGGGGATTGAACTCAGGCCCTTGCGCTTGCCAGGGAAGTGCTTATTCCACTGAGCCATCTCCCCGGCCCCCTCTATGTAATGTCTGAATTGTGACTGACAAGCAACTGAAGCCACAAACTATAAAACTGGAGACAAGGTAACACTATAGTAAGCCTAATATACACTAATGACAACGCACAGAAATATCTACTGTAATGCTATTATGATAGTGAAGAACTAGAAAAAAAAAATATCCAACTACTGGGGATTGATTGTATGGAATTATCCAATCACCCAACAAAACACACTGCTATTGGCAGTCTCAAAAGCGGGGAGGCGAGCGGGGAGGTGAGCGGGTCGCCTTCAGCCATGCCCTCAGGGCGGCAGCCGCACCCGGGGATCCGTCCCCAGGCTGTTCGAGGTACAACAAAGTTTATGCATTTTGAAGAAGTATGAAGGTTGTGAACAATATTTTTCAAGAACTTATCATAGAAGATAACTGAAGAAAATTGCATGTAATAAGATAGCTGCAAATGAATGTACAAGTCCTTCAGCAATTGTTAAAAATACCTCATTGCCTCAAAAGAAACAATGAAGACAGTGGTCAAGAAAACATA